TGAGCATGTAACAATGGCATAGTTTTACTTTTTCTACCGCAATCTTCCAGTGGCAATACAGCCAAACTAGATCCTACAAGAAATACATAAGATAATATTTGAAATATATACTTAATGTATAATAACGTTGTAAGTATTATTATGTTTTTATCGAAAATACCATTATGATCCACATTAAATGCCATGAATGCAGCAGAAGCTGTAATATTGTTCCCATAAGTCTGGTAGGATCCTACTGAGATATCTCGAATACATGCTTCTGGTTTAGGTACGATAGGTGCAGCATTTTTATATTTTGATGCTTTGAAACGCCAAGCCATCTTGTGGTGTTATTTTTGATTTCTCTTCGATTTGAATTGCTCTTAAATCATGTAATCTTATGGAACAATGCAAACCTAAAGAAAAAAAAAAAAACAAATAATTAGAAAAGAAAATACAAATTATTTTATTTAAAAAGTATTGTAATACTCATTCATACATATATTCATTCATATATATATATATATATATATATATATATATATGCATATGTATGATAGGTATATAAGTATATACATATAATATATATATATATATATTTATCTATGAGGTCGAAAATCATTATTATCTAGGCAAAAAGAAAAAAAAAAGAAGAAAAAGCGGAAGTACATATATTTATGATATATTTGATAAAACAAACGATCCAGATGTTTCGTCCTGTTTCAATGGGCGGTGATCGACGTGCTATGATTAACAAGACTTATTACCACTTTCATTATCGAGTTTGAAAGACCAGAAAGATAAAACTAAAATGTCAATTTGACGATAATCGAATTATTTGTAAAGAACGCTGAACCGAGAACGACAGCCAGTGGCACAAACTCGAGTATGACTAATAATTTGGGGGTGAAAACCACCCCACCCTTAATAACTACAATTCTACACGGTAAGAGAGAACGCACGTACATATACATAGACGACACATTCTATTACATTTAAAAAGAAAAATGGATTTGAACACATTCACATTACAAATGTAATTACTATTACTTACAATTTATCGATTATTACACTAATTCAGCGACAAATGATCACTTTAAATTAATTAAAAGGAGATAGTTGATAGGATATTTTAGAATACGACTATATAAACACAATTGGCGACAGCAAGTAGTAGGCGTCTCTGCTTTCGTGCATCGCACGAACACTACAGGGTATACTCGATTAGTACAAAGCTTTTTACAGAGAGTTCGCGCATCTGAGAATCGACGTCATCCAACTTACACTACTTTCGAGAATCGACACATCGATACAAATATTACTGAGATTTTAATATCATTTCTTTTCTTAAATTCAATGATACATTTTACAAAATTGTTAAATGTATATTTTTTACATTTTTTTAAAAACTATCTCTCATTTTTATATTTAAATCAAACTAAAGATATAACAAAATGGCTAATAAATTCTTATATATCTAAATTATTATGATTATGTGTTAATCGCTGCTTATTACAAATTATACCACAAACGAGAATAATTGTTAATTGCTTTAAACTGTTTTATTGTACGATTCCAAGGGATGACGTCATAATGACTGCTTATACGATTACGTGTGTGAGCGTAGCTTGTAGTTTCGATCGTGTTCCATTGGCCGGAAACAGGCATGTCCACCCCTCTCAATAAACTTACATATGTATTCTTCTTGTCAACGTAGACGATTTAAAATAATATGTAAATGTAAATGTATACTACATGATTATAATCAATAATAATTTATAATAAATTCTAATTAAATCTAACCAAAAAAGTTATTGCCATTTTTGAAAATGTGCATTTTCGCTTACATGTAGAACGGGTTGCAGATCTACAGGCGTTTCGAAAGTCATTTAAATTTGACTGGCAAGTTTGACGATAGTTCTTTTCGATTTCAATCAAAACAATCTAATTATTCTTTCAATAAGACTAACTGTAATAAAGGTATCACTTTTAACGATGATAAATCTGCTAAGACAGCCTAAAAAACATATAATTTGTGAATAATAACATTGATTTATTTTTTAATTGTAAAAGATATATCCATATTGATTTTTCTTACTTCAACGTTGTGCTGAGTATTGACCTGCATCAAATTTTCTTTTCTAAAACTTAAAATAGTCACGGCAAGAAGAGCTATTATTTCTAAAGAATCATATGCCAATACTAAATCCCATAAAAATAATAATTGCTCGGGTGGTAAGTAACCGCTAAAGCCTCTCATCAACCATTTGAATACTACTTTAATTCTATAAAATTAAATTAAAAAATGATATCAATAAATATAATAATGATAATTAAATAAAAGATATAAGAAACTTACGGTTGTAAATGGATGTTCTTAAAATGGGCCCATAACAGAGGTTCATAGCATTGTAATAGTCTTTCAAATAATAAACATAATGCAACTATACCTTGCTCGTGACTCGAGACTGTGTGAAGACGAAACCAATAACGTAAATAAAATGCTCGAAATGTATAATACATGATGCATGGATCATCGTACAAATAACAGAATGGAGTAGCTTAAAAATAAAAAAAAAAAGAATAACTTTATGCATATAAAATATTAAATATTATTTTTATAATTATGATAGATCGTAAAAAATATCAAATATCTTCTAAAAAATTAAATACATAATTCTTAATTTCCCTACCATACATAGTAAATCCATGGAATGGTATTACACCACTTGGAGGGAATACTAAAGTATTTTCTAAGGTTGCAGGTTTCCCTTGTAAAACCGCATGTATCACTTGACCACCTGCACTTCTGTCGGTAGTAACCGGAGTTAATACTTCCGAGTCCCTTGAAAAGCACAGCATCGTTTTATAAAGAACATCTTCAAAAACAAAATATTGATCGTCGTTACTCGCTGTTAATTGTACATCCTAAAATATAAAAATCATAATTGATGTAACTAATTTACAAAAAAAAAAAATTAATTATATAGAATATTACCTTTATAATTAATTTATCAACAATAATGTCATATTGCAAGACCATACTTTTCAATTCCTCGTAATATTCGATGTCCTATAATATGTGAAAGTATGGGTTTTTTTTTTATATAAATATTTAAATTTTTATTAAGAGATGCATAAATTATATACATTATCTTTAATGGCTGATCCTAAAACAAGAGACCAAAGACGTCCTCTTAAAGCACGTGGTGCTCCTTTTTTTAAAAATTCCTGCGCAATTGGCACATAATTTGTACTTAATACTCTTTCACCTATATGAGTTCTTTCGGCTTCTAAATTAACGAAATTTCCTGTGGCTGGCATATCAGGATTAACACCAAGCAAAGGCATACCTTGAGCTAATTCAACGTACAAGCATCTCTGTGTGTTGATATTTATGAAATATTATTTATATTGGTAACACACAATTATTTACGATGTTAATTAAAAATACATACCAGCTCTGCAAGTGTTCTTACACGAATTTGTATGTGACTAAAATCCCAATTTAATTCCTCGCTAAAAAAAATATCAAAATTTATTTTAATCATTATATTATTTATTTAATTGTTTATGCATACATACGGATGTTTTTTAAACGCTGGATCACGTATAGAAAACAATACTTCTAAGAAATCTTTTGGAGCATACAATGGCCTGTATCGAGACAGATCTATGCAAACAAAATTTAATTATTAATATTAAAATAATATGAATTATTTATGAAAATAATTTGTTATAATTTTTTTTTACCAATATCGTAAGTACTAAGTTCGTTCCATTTTTCAGCAAGTTCTTCTCTATCTGCGTTGGGTCTTATACGAGCTAATGGAACGTTTAATTCAATGCACATAGAATTTAAAGATTTTTGAATACGACGCTCCCATTGAATTTGAACTTTTTTTAAGTAAGTCAAATCAGTATTTTCAGCGAGTATTGGTTTCGATCTCAATGAATCCTACTTGAATAAAAATTGTATAAAAATATTTGCAATTAAATATGAAACGTATAAACAAAATAAGACCTAAAAAAGAAAAAGAAAAAGAAAAATGAATACATACATTAATAAATAAAAATGTACCTGCGATCGTACCCAATGAAACACAGTATTTCTAAGCTCAGTCTCTAATCCATTTACTTTGAGAGCATCGAGTAGAGTATTTTTAAAATCGTCTTTTTTTACAACAGTCGAAGCAACGAGTCTCTGAAGATAATAAAAAAAAAGTTTAAATAATAAATTCAATTGATGCATGTAGTACATGAGTACAATACCTACTTGAATTTCGTTATAAAGACTTCGATAATTAGCCATATTCTGTACATTTTTGGTTAACCGTTCAGCTGATTTTTCAATGAAATTTTCCTTAGATTCCTCCATCGTTTTTCTTCTTTAAATACTTTAGATAATCAGACCACCATGTTGCTACCTATGAAACGCCATTTGTAAATAAACCTTCCCGCCATCGCAACGAGAAACACTTTCTATATTTATACTTACCTAAAAAATCATGAAACTTGTTAAAAATAATCTCTGAAAGAAAAAAAGAATTTTATATTAAAAATATTGTACAAAAACTTTGTAAAAATATTATCATTAATTATAACTGTATTAAACAATTTATAAAAAAAAACAATTTAACGTTAATTATTTCAATCAATACTATGTTATGAAGTTGATATATTGATCAATGATCACATGACAATTGCAAAAAATCGTTACAATCGATTTTGTAATAATCGAATAACGATATTAAAGTAAGGAAACGATTTATCTCTCATTGGTCGGAATATTGAGCGGGAAAATATTTAAAATCTAACGCGACTTGATAAGACAAGAATAAAAATATTTCCAATGAGTTTAATAAAATATTAATTTAATAAAAGATTTTAATGAAGAAAATAAAAATTAAAATCATTTTAAATCAATTATCAAATAAATCAAATAAATAAGAAGAGATAAATATAAATAGCGGACCGGTTGAACTGGACGGGCCCTGGGCCGGTATGTCTACGCAAGAAAATGGCGTTACTGTAGAATGTGTTTTGAAAGGCATCCAGTCAACATTATTTCATGTTAAATTTGATCGATATGGATATTTCAAGTATGCTTGAAGTGCAAGTAGACGAGGTGAAAGAGGTTAAAAGGAAGAAAAACGGTAGGATTATTGAATAATTCTAACCTGTCAAAATGTACAATGTGAATTTTTAAGACTAACCTAGCTTACGTACGTTTTTTAGTTACATCGAAGGATTTAATTCCTTTCGTAACCATTACCCCACCGCCAATTTCTCAAGAAGAAAGTAGTTTCTATAAGCTTATGTTTGACAATGGTAAGATTTAACAATTTTTCTTTGTCCCTTTAATATTTTTATATTTCCCATTTTTGTATTCACTTAAGAGCATATTATGATTATAATTATTATTATTATTATTATTATTATTATTATTATTATTATTATTATTACTACCAATACTAATAAATAGATTAACATTAAAATTATAAATATTAATAATAATAATTATTATTATTGGATTACCATGGAGTTCTGCTGGTAGTTTGCTGTTACAATGTTTCAATTTCATATTAATATTATTATTATTATTATTATTATTATTATTATTATTATTATTATTATTATTATTATTATTGCTAGAAATTTAACGACGAAGAAATTGTTATTACTTTTCCCATAGATATTTCTGTAGTAAGGTTTCGTAAACTTCATTGTACGGCATGTGATGTGCATATAGGCTCAGCTCCAGCTGAAGCAAAAAATATGTTTGAACATCCTGTGTTGCGTACATTATTATGCGCTAACTGTAGAGAATTTTATGGAGATGGTACTTTCGAACAAGGTATATATATTTTTCTATATTTTATACGCCACCTGTTAATTAACAATACCATATAGTTATAAAGAGATTGTTTTAGGAGATGACGCTACTGATATGTTCTGTAGATGGTGTGCAAATGGCGGCAATTTATATTGTTGTTCCTATTGCAGTAATACTTTTTGTTATAAATGTATTAGAAGGAATTTTGATTCGTTAGTAAGAAAAAAAATTGAGGCTGATGAAAAGTGGAAATGTTTTGTTTGTAATCCGGCAGATTTGTACGCTACTAGGGCTACATGTTGGGCTTTGTTAAAATATGTACAAACAGTTACAAGGTACTAATTTTGTAGAAAAATAAATATTAGAGAGCTATTCTGTGTATTAATCATTTAAATCTAATGTTTATTTACATTTTTGTAGAAAATTGGAAAACGATGAGTCATTAACACCAGAAGAATTGGAAGAAAGAATGAATTTAGATGAGACTGAATGTTGTCCACGTAGAAAAAAACGTAAACGCAAAAGGACTGGATCTTCAGATATAGATGAAGATGAAGATGAAACATATGATCCTAAAGTTAATAATGAACCAATAACAACAAAACGGAGAGTATTAAAAAAAAGATACAAGCATAGAAGATTAACTTTATCTAATGGAAGTATTCCAAGATTGTTACCAATAAGACAATGTTGTCCTTCGTCCACTGAAAATAGTCCTAAGCCTCCTGAATTAAGTACGTCGTTAAATTCTTTTACAAGTGTAAAAACTGCTAACACTAGTGCAAAGTCAAGCAATGCATTTTTTCTGTCTGTTTCATCAAAAACACAAGAAAATCAGTCATCTCCACGACCTAATCAAACCGTTCAAGAGAAAGTTGATGCACCTAATGCAAAGACCTATCCTAGCGCTAACATCACTGCAGTGCCCACTGTTAAATTACTGCAATCGACAGCACCATTTAATCCGATGCAAGCTTTAATTTCACATGTTCCAAATAAGAATTCATATCAAACATATTATCCTGCATCGCGAATGGTAACTATTCCAAATACAAATCATCCTATGGCGTTAACTAAATCTCGAGTCTTGCTGCCAAAGCCAAAACAAACGATAAAAATGATGGTGACACCAAGTGTTATAAATTTGGATAGTGATTCTGATGAACCAATGGCTATTTCAGTGGTGAATTCTCCAAATACACAAAATACACCTCCTGTTGTTGATAATAATACTACAGTTAATGCTAATTCATCGTCAACAGTAGCTGTACCAGTAGCACTCGTGAGTACAGATAGTAGTTGTAATATTAATACAATAAAAATTAATAAAGAAGTAGAACAGCCTTTACGCGAGTTGGATACAACTTTAAATAAATCTGACAAAAGTTTGGGTCAAACTGTATTATATCCATATAAAGAACAATTTAATGACGTTTTTAATAATATTAAAGTTAAATTTAATCAAATACTTGAAGATACAAAAAGTGAATATGCGAATAAGAATAGTATACAAGAAACACGATATAAAATTCGGTCTCTTTATAAGGAAGTTTACAACACCATTATTCAAATGTCATATATTAATGACAGGGTAATAAGAGATTACAATAGTTGGGAAAGATCTCAAAATAAAGAAAGTGAAATAATTGAAGAAAGAATTAACAGGACATCATCACTTGACAAAAATCATGAAATACCACTTGATATGATTTGCGCAGCAGATTCTGCAGAAGAATCTGACAACGAAGATGTGACAACTATTAAACTATCTGAACTTATACTTTCAACTAATGCTCTAAAATCTTCTTCTGATAATAAGAAGATGGTTGATCAAAGTGTTGAAACTTCTTCTGTTGTTTGTAAAGATAAATCAATACAAGTATTTGACTTTGAATCGAAGGATTATGAAAAAATAATTGGACATTCGGTTTTAACGAAAACTAACAATGATTCTTCGACTGAAGAAGACAGCATTTCAGCACCTGTAGCAACGTCAAATGAACATGTTGGCAAATATGAAGAACAATTTATAAATTATTTGCAACATATTGAAGATCATGGAATAGAGATAGATGATAAATCAAATGAAATTGTTTTAGAAAGTCTTATAGACGTAGAAACAGATTCAAGTATTCCAGAAACATTAGTTAATGAAATTCCATCCAATAATTTAAGCGAATCCACTGATTTAACGTTGCAAGAAAATCCTGAAGAACATAGTAAAAAGGAAACCGTAAATGATGATTTAATGGAAGTAGAATCTCTACTTTCAGATTCTAAATCTGTTTCAAATAATCTTAGGATAAAGGAAATTCCAATCAATGAAACAAATATAAATACAGAATTAGAAAAAGAACATATGACAATGACGAACAATACAACAGACGAAAAACAAAATATAAATATAAAAAAAGCTATAGAAAATGTTATAAATTCATTAATAACTAACGAAACAAATGTAAACAATTCTACTGCCGAAGATGATATCACCATTATCGAAGATTAACACAATATTAAGAAAATGTAATAAAAGCGACCTAATAAATTCGTAATGGAATTATTCGTCACTATTGGACAAATGAATTTATGCTTATAAATAAGAGCATACTTATTAACATTTCCGATTTCTGTATTGTTAATACTTGTCGATATAAAAATATAGATTTAATGTAATAAAAACAGAACATGCATTAGATAATATACATGCAACAATAATTTGATATCATTGTTACATTTATATTTATTTAAAACAATTGGATCTTTGTTTGATAATAATTTTATAGAATAATCATTTTAGAGAACAATTATTCATTATTCAAATTAAATATTTCTGTTAGAATAATATTGTACGTTAAACTATGACGTCCGGTACACAAGTAACTGAGACAAGAATCTCAGTTGCTTTGATGTCGGTATTTGTCTTATCAGCTTAATGCGACACCAACGTGATATCACTGGACGACATAGTCTTAATAAATCATTAGATAAAAATATTCATTTCTTAGAACATTAACCGACATTTTTATTTTCATTTGTTCCCTTATTATTATTACTGTATATTTTTTTATGAATGAATTTGAAGAATATATTTGTATTATATCTAAAAAAAAATATTTAGAATATAGAAATTCGTTCTTATACAATTTAGTAGTAATAATCATAACAATAATAATAACAACAATAGTAATAATAATAATAATAATAATAATAATAATAATAATAATAATAACGATAGTCGTAATAAAAAGAATAGTAAAATAACGACTAACACTAGTGTATATTAATTTTTATGAAAATTGTCAGAAAATGCAATTACTGAATGCTTAGTAATAAGAGTGTATATATATTATTGGTACATATATATATATATCTATATATATATTGTCCAAAAGTATATAAAATTCTTATCAAGAAAAGATCTGTTTTAATTTCCTATTATACAATATCAATGCACCTATTATTTAAACAAAAGTATATTGTCTAAATAATAATACTTACTTTTTTACATATACCTATGAGAATTGTCATTGAAAATTAATGTAAAAACAAAAACTTCATTTTATCAGGATGCATTAAAAGTAAACGCACAATATGAAAAGGATACAATATAATGCATCGTCAAATTTATAATCTTTAAAGGAAATTTTTATTTTTAAATATATTATTAATTAGAATAAATTAATTATATATCTTAACATGAAAGTGATAGAAATTGGAGAATGTTAAGATTTATTTGGTTACTTGGTGTATATTCGAAATATTAATGTAATCATATTTCGAATAAGAAAATACATACATTTTTATTATGATATACATAACAAATATTCGATCTTTCACCGTCATATTTGGTATGATTTGACCATGTCAATCTTGGCATTCTCAAATTTCGATCTTTTACGATAACATATATAAATTATTAAAGAGGTTTTAATTTTTTAATATTTAAAGCATACAAATCTACCATATATAACAGCTTCATAATAATTATAATTTAATTATATTTCGTTTAATGTATTTTATTTTATAGTATTCTCATGTACACATACTTACATACATACATTCAACTAAATAACTGACTTTTGAATAATTCATGTACTATTTCTATCAATTCTTGTTTGCATATTGTTTTTTCATACATACATATATATTTATTATTTTAAGATTAATATAATAATAATAATAATAATAATTATAATTATAATTATAATAATCTAACTTTTAATGTTATATACATAATCGTTTCGAAGAGTTATTTGAAAAAAAAAAACTACTCTCCCTTTTCTTTTTTTTTTATTAAGAGGAAGGAAAAGGCAGTAATGTTTGATGCATATTTATCACACATTTTATTTTTTTTTTTTTCATTATCTTTGATAAAATATAAAAAGAGAAAAAAAGGGAGAAAATAGTTTATAAAAAAGATATGTTATACGTTGTTCTATATATATATATAGTTACTTTAATCGTATTTATAACAAATACGTTTTTTTAGTTTAGTCACAGCGTACTTCCTTTTTTTATACTTGAAACTTATAAACAATTGTTATTGTTAGATGTCTTTTTTTTGTAGATATTGTGTATGAGTGAATGAAGAGATTTTCAATGGTATGAACGAAAATAGTAATAGAATTAATAATAATAATAATAATAATAATAATAATAATAATAATAATAATAAAAAATTAAAAGAAAATAAATCATCTTTCTATACATACATTTCTATCATGATATACATATGCAATACGTACAAGAGTTTTTTTTTCTTTTATTTTCTTTTTTTTTTTTTAATAACGAATATGAGTATTTTATTATTACTTTATAATTAAATAAAACTAAATATTTAATTAAAAATAAAATATAAAAAAAATATCTATGTATTTTAGAACGATATAAAGGTGAAAGCACCATTGATCTTTAATTAGGTCATTTTTCGTTTATATATATATTTTTTTTAATTTTTTTACATGGTATTTAATATCTGAATTGACCTTTTCTACCCATACCATTATGATAAACCCTCAATGGTGTATAATTACCATTTCCATTCATGGCTGCTTGGTAAAGAAATAAAATTAAAATTAGAATATTATTGAATTAAGTTTGATTATATTTTTAAATGTATATATATATATATTATATGTAATTATTTAATAAATAATATATTTACCTAATACAATTGAGGGAGGTTGTCTTGGGCCTTGAACAGTTTGAGCATGACATCGTGGTTTTAATAAACCGTGATAAAGTATAAAGTACGATGCAGCTACAATTGCTGCAGCAACGGCCATGCAACGGAATACAAATCTCAATGAATCAACTGCACTAGCATTTTCGATATTTATGTAAGCTCCAATTACAGCACCGATGCATCGACCTATATAAATCACACACACATGTACATTTTACATTTTCTATATATGTTATTATATAATAATAATAATAAGAATAATAACAATAAATACAAACACAGCTAAATCAAATATTTATTATTATAAATGTTATGTATATATGTAATAAATGTTTACTTAGTTATTATTAATATTTTATTTCTCTTCTAAAGTTTTTATTTCTTAAAGTGAGATGATATTGATAATAAAAAAAAAAAAAATAAAAATAAAAAAATAAATTAAAAAGCAGACAAGAATACGAAAAAGTTCTTTCAAGAAGTGTCATTAAAAAGTTTGTCAAGATTATCGGAAATCGATAGAGTGTCCAATAAAAAGAGAACTAAACTTCTCTTAACTTTTCTTTTAAAAGACCACACATATATGAATACACCTACCAATGCAAAAGTGAGCAATCACAGGCAAAGCTTGAGCAGTTACTGTTAAATGACGAGGGACGAGATGTCTCAGATAAAGAATTGCAGTAACCCACATGATACCTAATGTGAATACTTCTAAACCTTCGGAAATTAATGACCACCATGGTCCTCCGACAAAACTCAGTCCAGTAAACCTACAAAAGGAAAATATTAAAGATAAATATAAACAGGAATAAAAAGATTCATTTTGTAACAATACAAAATTCTCTCATTAAAAACATTTTGTTTTATTAAATTCTAAGAAGAAAATAGACTCACCTACTTACCTAATAATATAAACGGTAAAGGCAGTGATGAGTAAATTACTATGACCACAGTAATCAACGAGATGTTCAGATTTCCAAAGAAATAGGAATGCAGGGACTGCTCCAACAGTCATAGCAACACCGATAGATAATCCATCACCTCCTAGCCTTTGAAGATACCTACGAAATAAATTCAAGTTTTTCAAGAATGAACATTAACAAAAATAAAATAATTTTTACTCACAGTGGTAAATAACTGTCCATAGCACTCCAGAAAATACCCATTACAACAAGGACAATGACAAGAGCAGCAGTCTCGCTACCATATCTTTTGATAGCGCTCATAGGCAAGGCTAACATTCCACTCCTAGTATGCCACCACCATTCAGGTGGACTAAGTGGCATACTGTTCGCTGCTAAAGCAACTATTGCTACGAGAAGCATCAGTCCGGCGTGTATTAAGATTGGTAGATAGTAAGTTCTGTTTGCACCTTGTAAAAGAGTACTAAGATAACCAGTGAGTGGACCAAAAATGGCAAATCCAAGAGAACCGAATGCTAATTGTCGTCCAACGTCTCCGCGACCCGAAGAAGTTTCTCGAGTTGCTATAACAATTGCTGCATCTACCAAGGCTACAGCAGTTGTTGGAAAAATGTCAGCAATCGATCGAATTACTAAATAAGTCCAAAATGTTAACTCAGCTAGCCCGGACGGTTGTGAGCATTGACTCTCAGCTAATATGCTACCTAAATTAACAAGCGCGAAATGTTTATATATTATTCTGGTTATAGTTGATACAACCTGACGTTTGAGTTTGCATACCTGGAGTAACGTAAGGATCCTTTAAGTCACATTCTATCGCACAAGTCTTATTATATTCGACCATTCTCGTCTCAAGTTCAGGTGGTATTCGACAATCGAAGTATTCCGTAACAGGATACGCGCACCAAGCTTCTCTATCTTCCGCATTAATAGCTTGTTTTAAACTAACGTTTAATAATAAATCTTCAGAGTATTCAGTGTAAACGTGACAAACCACGTTGTCGCCGTCTTTGAAACAAAGATGGGGTGGTTCGTTTCCGGGTATTATAAATCTACGGATTTTTTTGGACTCTCCTAAATCCTACCCAAAAAAAGAAAATTAAATAATTTACTAAAAATATAGTAGAAAAAATGTGATAATAACTTTCGGTCGGATTATTCTATAATTAGAAAAAAAGTATTAAGATTTTGATCCTGCCGATAAAGTAATTCTACCTGAACATCATAATCCCCTCCAATATCTAAAGGAGTAACGGTAGCATCAGCACTACCTTCTTCATCGATTTCTGGCTCAACGGTTCGTTGATCAGACGTGGTTTCTTCTTCGGATTCCGATGATTGCCATCGTTTCGTAGCGATCGGATAACAAGCGTAATTACAGTTCTCTAAAAGCAATGCGCCTATCTTGTCCTCGTTAGACCAACGATGACAATCCATATCTTCCTTGCATCTCTCTTGCTGTACTATAGCACCATTTTCGTCGCAACTAAATTTTAAACCTGGACTATTATTAGTTGTCTCAATTTTGTCCATGACTGTTGATGATTCCGTTTTCTCAATGGACGGTAAAAGTAGCAAGGCTGCGTAAAAGATGGCTGAGAGGACGCAACAAATAGCTATCATTACTCTTAAATAACGACCGGTTGATGATTTTTCATTTTTTCCTTGATGTCCTGCAAGTTTATCTGCTATTGGACCAGCGACAAGTGGTCCAAGAAGTGCTACAGCTGGTGAAATCATCGAAATCAGTCGGATCTCTTCTATGCTCAATCCCATTTCTTGCATGTGAAGTGGAAGAAACGGAAAGAGACTACCTAATCCTGTTGTAAATATAAATATATTCTTTACGTTATTTCTTTTTTATATGTAATATAAAATATTATTAATATTATTTATTTTTTAATATAATTTATAATATTAAAGAAGTAATAGTAATATTACTATTTTATTATTAAGGCAGAATTCTACTTTGTAATTTTTTTTGTTTCAATTTTTTTTCCCCCGATTATTCGTAAGTAAATATATTTAAGAATACTCTCTGAAAATTTCAAAACGATCAGAGCATCCTAACTGTACTTTTTCGTCCCTCGAATCTACCCGTGCGCGGGTAAAAAAAGTATTTAAAAAAACTTTAAATGCGTTTTTCTCGGAATCACATTTTTGAACCGCGTGTTGTAAAAATCTCCAAAAGTAGCTATTCGATTCGACTAAAATTTTTACCACATAATCTATACACATATATCAACCGGTGGTAGCAGATTTATAAAAAAATTTTCATTTTAACTTTTTTTTTTTGAGAAAAAATGAGAAAAAAAAGAGATTTTTTTTGATAACTTTTTTTCAACTGACGCCATTTTGTTATTTTTGCTTGTAAATGAAAAAATCTGCTACCACCGGTTGCTGTAGTCTTTGTGAACATAGAACTATTCGAGTTTTTCATTTCAGATAATCCGATGTCAAGATTTTTACAACACCGCAAAGGCTAGACTATTTTTAGGCGTTCAGTTCAAGGGCCTTTCCAATATATATAGAGCGTATAAAATAAATTAAAAAAATTTTTTAATGTACTTTAAGAGTATATTTATGAAGCACAACAAACCCTACATCAATATCTTCCTTAGTTTTCTAATAAAAAATTGACAAAAATACCTATTTTTTCGAGCGACTAAAGTAGAATCCTGCCTTAAATAAGTACTAAATAAAGTATTTTTTTAGTACTTATTTAATTAATTAGTTTAATAATTAAAAGTACTTAATTAAAAGTAAATATTAAATAAAAAATATAAAATTACTATTACTATTAGTGTAATAGTAAATTATTAAAAATATTATTAAATAACAATATTAATAACATTAAATAAAAAATATATATAAATGTAATCAATTAATATTATTTAATATAATATTAAAAATAATAATATATTACATAATTTAATATTATTAATTTAATATTATTCAATATAATATAAACAACATTATTAAATATTATTAACAACAGAATGATTCAATATGTTTGAAGTTTTGAATTTTTTTTTTTTCATTTGATAATTTCATTCATTTAATATTTCAATTAATTTTTGTAACTTAAGTTGTTTAGAGATATGTACTGAATGATCTATTATTTTTATAATAAGAAATTAAAAATAAAATTCCATGGCGTACCTCCAAAAAAGAGGAATAAAAGACATTTCAAAGATATCAAATTCGTGTTGATGAATCTTTTTTGAGGGATATCTTTCGGTAACTCCATCCTTTCGGTTGACGCTGTCAATGTTGCCATTGCTGAAGGTTAAACTCACTTAACTTTTTTTTCAGCGAACAAATATTTACGGATATTCGACGATTCGAGGTCGGCGACACTAAGCCAGACTTATTTCTCCTGATTCCGTCCACTTTGTTTGCTTTCTCATAAACCTGAAATTTACATTTCATCATTTTACGTATTGAAAGAGTTTTTAGTCAGCATTTCTTTTAATTGGATTTTAATATCATTAAAAAAATCGTATTAAAAGAGCTGTTAATGTTAAAGAAAAAATTTGTAATTTAATTTATTAATCAATTAGGCTTATTTAAGTTATATATTCCTATTTTATAGTTATTTTATTTATTCAAATTATTGAAAAAATCGCGCCTGAAAATATGCAACACTCTATACATGTCGGTATATTGCTTGCGAGCGCCATCTATCAGTAGAAAATAACTCCCCAGAGTATGCAATACCGTTGTACATATTTGTAAGCTGCAGTTGCATAGTTCGAGGGGTTGTTTCATATTGATAGATGACGCTCGCAAGCAACATATTCGACAATGTATGGAGTGTTGCATATCTGCAGGAGTAAAATTATTATAGAATATTTTTACAAATAAATATATATATATATATGTATATATCAGTTGAAAATATAAAATAAACAATACTTGTATTTAATAATTTTTAATCATTCATTCTACAATATTATCTATAAATAATAATGAATACGAAATATTATTATGTTAAAATAATAAATGTTTAATATCTTACGCCATTTACAAATGCGCTGTAAATCCAGTTTGACGGAGGAATTTTTAAAAGAAATGTTCTGCATATTTTCTTGATGTTGAAAACGACGATTGATCTATTAAAAAAAAAAAAAGAAGGTAAAAAAGATATATATATATATATATATATATATACTAATATATAATATTTATATATAATATTTACATTTGTAAAGAATTTATACAAAGATTAAAAGTATATAAATATATATTCTTTTTTATGTGAACATCAAAAGATGATTTCTATATATTTCTCTAAGGGGTATCTACCTTTGACAATACCAAACTAAGGTAAGAAATAAAAAAAAATGGTAAAGCGAACGAACCTGTCATGCGGATCGCGTACTCAATGGATTGTAATCAAGACAGGAAGACGTTTTTTCACCTAGCACGCGTGCATACAAGAGACATGAAAGGTACCGATCAAAAGACGAACGTCAATCAAGATAAGGTTGTTGTTGTCTTTAAGAAGTCAAAGGAAATCATGACGTGATATCGATCGATCTTCGATCGTTAACCTTAAGAAGAAACTGTTTCCTTCCTGTCTGTTATTATAAAGTCATCATCATTATAAATGAATCTTATTATCATTATCGTATGTATTAATACCATATATATGTATATGGTACTTAATTATTAGTAATTAAAAATGATAAATCAACGAATAAATCGATTATTACAATATTACGTGATTAAAAAAATTGACAAATATTAAATAATATTAATAATATTTGGTATTATTATAGCTATATATAATACTAATTATTATATATATGTAATGCTAATTTAATATATATATATATATATATAGTTATATAATAACTATAATATATTATAGTTATAAAATAATATAATATTATAACTAGCTGACCCGGCAAACGTTGTTTTGCCATATAAATTATTACCTTATACCGCCATCTGTTAGAATCTTATCGAACTAACAAAGATAATCATGACTCTTTGTTAATAAACAAATAATTCGCGATTAATAAAATAATATTGCGATTATAAATTGAGATATAAACTATCCTATCTTTCAAGTTGGATGAAACTGCACACAGTGTGCAAAATTTTATTAAAATCGGTTCAGTAGTTTAGGAGTCCATTGCGGACAAACAACGTGACACTTAATTTATATATATTAAGATATAATATTTATAAAATATTATAAAAATATTATATTATAATATATAACATATATTATTATTTTATTTTATTATATTTTTAAAATATATATAATGTAAAATATTTAATTATAATATATTTTTATACATTTAATATTACGTATACATTATATATTTTATTATTTATTATTATATTAATTTATGAATAATTTATTATTAATATTATAT